TATGTTGGTTTTTATGTAAGTCTCTCATATTCCAAGATATGAGACATAGGGGAAAGATGGATTTTAACAAAGTTTATCTGATTCTGTCACCTACGCTGAGTTAGGTTTATTAGGTTGGAATCTCTTTCAACTCCTGGGAAAGCTTGCCTTATCTCTTCCGAGGTGTTACAATTTGCAGGTTCTTTGGACAGGGAGGCCCCAGCTCCCTTGGGGGGCTTTATAGCTCCTATGACCCTTCTGTGACATTCCTAACTCACACACATCTGGCCAAATGTTGCTGGGACTCTCTAAGGAGGGTGGGGGGAAGAATGAGGGAGAAATATATTTGTCAGGATGATTAATCCCTTTGCCAAGATGGAGGTTGAAGCCAAAATGGTTGAACCTCGTCCATCTCTGGGTATACGCTGTTACACCCCCCCCTATGATGGTGCGATAGGTGTCACCCGGTGTGGTCTGCACCCCCCGCACCCACCTAAGGACGCCACTGGGAAAGGGATATTAATAGATTACAGGAGATTGGCCTACAAAACAGAAAAAAAGAAAAATGGGCGCTCATTGGATATAGATTTGCTGAGACAAAGAAAGGAAAAAAGTGCTAATAGAATGCAGGAGATCTGCTGAGAAAAACAAAAGAAAATGGATGCTAATGAGCTGCAGGAGATCTAATTTTAACCACTTCCTGTCTGGCCCATGTATATAAACGACTGAACAGGAGCAGTGCAGGGGCGGGTGGGCTGTTTATAAACGGCCTCCCCCCTGCTTGTGCGTGCTCCCTGGGAGTGTGCAGCACCTCAATCCGGTGCCCACTGTGTCCTCCGGACACATTGGAACACAAGTTGTTGTACGGGACCTCTGTGCGAGATCCCAATCATGTGATCATTGATTGGCCAATCAGTGATCACATGCAGAGTAGTAAGCAAGATGTCACTTGTGACATCATTGCTTACTACTTGAGAAATCTGCGAATGATCACAGAGGTCACATGGTACAGGGCTATTCACAACAGCCTTGTACCATGTGACAAGCTGTGACCAATCACAGCTCTCACAGTATTTCTCAATGGCTGCAAGAATGCAGCCAGAGAGAAGGAGAAATTATTGCTTTTACAGCCTTTATGGGTGTAAAAGTAATCAGTGTAAAAAAAAAAAAAAAAATCTTCATCACCCCCCACAAGTAGTACAGTGTCACTATGGTGACACTGTACTGCTAGGGTGACAGTATGTAAAAAAAAAAATATATAAAAAATTAAAATAAAAATGTAAAACAAAATTTTTTAAATTATAATTTTTGGTTATAAACTTAATTTGGGTTATTTTTTTTTTTACTAAAAAGATAACTGAATACATTTTGGCCAAGATTTATGAACAAAGATTATTTATTTGCAAAACTTTATAAGAAAAACACATTTTTCAAAATTTTTGGACTTTTTCATTTATATAGCCGAAAAAAAAAAATCCCAGTGGAGAATAAATACCACCAAAATAAAGTTTTATCTGTCTCAAAAAATGCTAAAAAAATTCATATGAGTACAGTGTTGCATGACCGCGCAATTGTCATTCAAAGTGTGATAGCGCTGAAAGCTGAAAATTGGCCTGGACAGGATGGGGGTGAAAGTGTCCGGACAGGAAGTGGTTAAAAAAGGGAGCTGGTTGAAGCTTATCTCCTAAAGCTTTCCCCCCCCCCCCCCCCCCCACCCCTTTCTTCCGCAGATCTCCTGCAGCCTATTAGCATCTGTTTCCTTTGCTGAGAATAAAATGGTGGTGAAATTAATTTTTTCTTTATTTCATTTTTATTTTTCGTAGTAAGTTGTGCGTTTGTGTGCTACCCACCATCACATTGTGACCGCCTACCTGAACTGTAGGACCGCCCACCCGAACAGTATGACGACCCGTCATCGCATTGTGACCGCCCACCTGAACTGTAGGACCGCCCACCAGAGCAGTATGACGACCCGTCATCACATTGTGACCATCCACCTGAACTGTAGGACCGCCCACCAGAACAGTATGACGACCCGTCATCGCATTGTGACCCCCCCCACCTGAACTGTAGGACCTCCCACCAGAACAGTATGACGACCCGTCATCGCATTGTGACCCCCCCCACCTGAACTGTAGGACCTCCCACCAGAACAGTATGACGACCCGTCATCGCATTGTGACCGCCCACCTGAACTGTAGGACCTCCCACCAGAACAGTATGACGACCCGTCATCGCATTGTGACCGCCCACCTGAACTGTAGGACCGCCCACCCGAACAGTATGATGACCCATCATCACATTGTGACCCCCACCTGAACTGTAGGAACGCCCACCAGAGCAGTATGACAACCCGTCATCACATTGTGACCACCCACCTGAACTGTAGGACCGCCCACCAGAACAGTATGACGACCCGTCATCGCATTGTGACCCCCCCCACCTGAACTGTAGGACCTCCCACCAGAACAGTATGACGACCCGTCATCGCATTGTGACCCCCCCACCTGAACTGTAGGGCCGCCCACCCAGAACAGTATGACGACCCGTCATCGCATTGTGACCGCCCACCTGAACTGTAGGACCTCCCACCAGAACAGTATGACGACCCGTCATCGCATTGTGACCCCCCCACCTGAACTGTAGGACCTCCCACCAGAACAGTATGACGACCCCGTCATCGCATTGTGACCCCCCCACCTGAACTGTAGGACCGCCCACCAGAACAGTATGACGACCCGTCATCGCATTGTGACCCCCCCACCTGAACTGTAGGAACGCCCACCAGAGCAGTATGACGACCCGTCATCACATTGTGACCACCCACCTGAACTGTAGGACCGCCCACCAGAACAGTATGACGACCCGTCATCGCATTGTGACCACCCACCTGAACTGTAGGACCGCCCACCAGAACAGTATGACGACCCGTCATCGCATTGTGACCCCCCCCCCCACCTGAACTGTAGGACCTCCCACCAGAACAGTATGACGACCCGTCATCGCATTGTGACCCCCCCACCTGAACTGTAGGGCCGCCCACCAGAACAGTATGACGACCCGTCATCGCATTGTGACCCCCCACCTGAACTGTAGGACCTCCCACCAGAACAGTATGACGACCCGTCATCGCATTGTGACCCCCCCACCTGAACTGTAGGACCTCCCACCAGAACAGTATGACGACCCGTCATCGCATTGTGACCCCCCCACCTGAACTGTAGGACCTCCCACCAGAACAGTATGACGACCCGTCATCGCATTGTGACCCCCCCACCTGAACTGTAGGACCTCCCACCAGAACAGTATGACGACCCGTCATCGCATTGTGACCCCCCAACCTGAACTGTAGGACCTCCCACCAGAACAGTATGACGACCCGTCATCGCATTGTGACCGCCCACCTGAACTGTAGGACCTCCCACGAGCTTTGGCTGTGGTCATGGGACAGCATGGGCACCCTGACTGTTCTGCATCTACACAGCCCCATACACAACAAACTGCAATTAACATTTTTTTTTTTTTTTGCTTTCAGCTCAACTTCAGGGACAACATGTTCACTCACTGCCTAATGCAGGCCATAGATGAGTCAAACATCGGCCGATTTTTTATTTTTTTTTTTAAATAAAAACACATCGGTCGTTCGATCGGCCAGCATTACCACCGTTAAAAAAAATATATAATAGCGGACTGGAATTCTTATTATTCTTCTTCTTCTTTTTCTTCTTGGAGGTCACAGCTCATGCTCAAATTTTTTATTGGTAAAACGATCGATTGATTTGCCCATCATTGCCAGAGAAAATCAGCTGATCGTCAAAATTGGCCGCAAATTTTCCAACATGCCTGAAAAAAATGTGCGAAAAACGGCCGACCAATTAACCCACTAATGGTGCAAAGATTCGGCCGATTTTCAACCTGTCTATGGCCGGCATTATATATCCCCCCACTTTCAGATGCCATTGTAATGAGATAATCAGTGTTATTCACTTCACCTGTCAGTGGTCAGAATGTTATGGCTGATTGGTGTACAGTCCATACACAGCACAGCACAAGGCCGGGGTCACACTACCAGACGCTTCTCGGGGCTGCAATTCCTCTGAGCTCCACAAGGTGGGGATCTCACTTCTACCCAGACAGGAAGTCTCTATGGAAGGCAGACAGGAAGTGATGTCAGGAACAGATAGGAAGTGATGTCAGGTACAGACAGGAAGTCTCTATGGAAGACAGGAAGTGATGGCAGGTATATATAGGAAGTTCTGGGTGAGAGGTGAATGGGGAGGAAGTAGAGAGAAGATGTTGGTGGGTTTTCCAGCAGAGGAGGTAATTAGATGTTATTTCCCATTTCTTTCAGGTACTTATATAGCACCATCAATGTATGCAGCACTTTACATATATATTGTACATTCACATCAGTCCCTAACCCTCAAGGGGCGTACAATCTAAGGTCCCTAACTCACATTCATACATACACATACTAGGGACAATTTAGACAGGATCCAATTAACCTACCAGCATGTCTTTGGAGTGTGGGAGGAAAGTGGAGTACCCGAGGAAACCCATGCAGGCACAGGGAGAGCATGCAAACTCCAGGCAGGTGGGACCATGGTTGGGATTTGAACCAGCGACCCTAGCACTGCCACTGCTGTTACCCTTGAAGGTGTGCTCAGACAGCAGGACTGTGAAGAATGGGGGACTGGAGGACTCAGGGAGATGCTGAGGGGCATCTTTGGGTCTGTGATGGCCCTCCCATCCACACTTATTTTTCAGACCTCACAGAACAGGCAATCTTAACCATCTTATTATTTCACTGGTCAAGTGATTTGTTCTGAACTATCAAGGCCATTCCTTCACTCGTTGGTGAGCACTTGTTCCTAGAGGAGTTCTGTTTCATTTGCAAACCAATTAAAAAAAACAAAACAAACCCAACAGAGAAAAGGGAATTTCTGATCCGACAAGCAAAGAGGGTTACGGGTCCTCCAAGATGTCACAAACACTAAGCAGTCCAAACTATATGTGTTCCCATGGGGGCAGTAGTCCTTAAATGTCCATCAACCCTCCTATCCCCCCTCACATCCACATCCTATTATTGTGTGACCAATACCATCCAAATCATTCTTACTTTCATTTCCCAAAGTTATCCGTCTACAAGGAGACCTGTATAGATCACATGATGGCACCAATGAGGATGGAGGAGGACCGGAGTCACATGACTGAGAAGATACTAAACCTCACCCTGGAGATCATTTGCTGCTGACCCTGAGGAGATTCTGGGAGGTCTCATGCATCACTCTTATCTGCTATTAATAAATCACAGACCTGACCGTAGAGGTGAGGAGGATTCTGGGAGGTCACATGACATCACTCTTATCTCTATTAATAAACACAGACCTGACCGGAGAGGTGAGGAGGATTCTGGGAGGTCACATGACATCACTCTCCTATCTCTATTAATAAAACACAAGACCTGACCAGAGAGTGAGGAGGATTCTGGGAGGTCACATGACATCACTCTGACCTGACCGAGGAGGAGGATTCAGGTCACATGACATCACTCTGACCGGAGAGGTAGGAGGATTTCTAGGAGGTCACATGACCTCACTCTCATAATAAAACACAGACCTGACCGGAGAGGTGAGGAGGATTCTGGGATTCTAACATGATATTCCTATTGGTTCTTCAATACAGATTTTTCCTCTTCTGAAGTCAGGTGATCATATGACCATCACAGTGCCTCCATGTGACTCCCTAAAACCTGAGAGACACAACATGCAGCAGATTCTAGAAGTCACAGAGAAGATGATGGAGCTGCTGACAGGAGAGGTGAGCGGTGCCGGGAATTCTGGGACATTCTCTAGTAACAGACAAGGGATGTGTCTGGATGGTGACTGTATCATTGTGTGTGTCAGGTTCCTATAAGGTGTCAGGGTGTCACTGACCATCTCTTCATGGAGGAGTGGGAGTATTTAGAAGGACACAAGGATCTCTACAAGGACGTCATGATGGACAATCAGCCGCCCCTCACATCACCGGGTAAGAGGAGACTTTATTGTAAAGGAGAGAGCAGTACGGAGGATCCACCTAGATCCCCCATCATCTGATAAACACATAGAAACAATGGATTCAGTCTCAGGAGATGGGAGGCAGCAGTGTGGGACCTTTGCAGCTTGTCTCATGTGAACATTTAGAACGGGTCTCCAAACTTTCTAAACAAAGGGCCAGTTTACTGTCGTCCAGACTTTAGGGGGGCATTGGGACTCATCAGGTAGGGGCCATTGGGAGTAGAAATTTTCCTGGCATCAATGGGCGTAAACAGTGCAGCTTTGGCATTCGAGAGAGGAAAACTGCACCATTGTTGTCAGTGGGAGAAATACTGCTTTGTTGATGTCAGTAACAGGAATTATGCCCCATTGTTGGTAGCAGTGGGAGGAAGAGTGCCCCGAGGGCCTGATAAAGGCAAGCAAAGGGCCACATCCTGCCCCCAATCTGCAGTTTGGAGACCACTGATTTAGATTATCACTGATTGCGGAATACCAATATTATGAGTTATGATCCCTGCATTGTATACTCCATGTTGTACATTACATACTCCCGACCCCTGCACTATATACACTCTGTGTTGTAAATTACATACTCCCGACCCCTGCACTATATACTCTGTGTTGTACATTACATACTCCCGACCCCTGCACTATATACACTATGTTGTACATTACATACTCCCGACCCCTGCACTATATACTCTGTGTTGTACATTACATACTCCCTGACCCCTGCACTATATACTCTGTGTTGTACATTACATACTCCTGACCCCTGCACTATATACTCTGTGTTGTACATTACATACTCCTGACCCCTGCACTATATACTCTGTGTTGTACATTACATACTCCTGACCCCTGCACTATATACTCTGTGTTGTACATTACATACTCCTGACCCCTGCACTATATACTCTGTGTTGTACATTACATACTCCTGACCCCTGCACTATATACTCTATGTTGTACATTACATACTCCTGACCCCTGCACTATATACTCTATGTTGTACATTACATACTCCTGACCCCTGCACTATATACTCTATGTTGTACATTACATACCCCCTGACCCCTGCACTATATACTCTATATTGTACATTACATACGTACTCCTGACCCCTGCACTATATACTCTATGTTGTACATTACATACTCCTGACCCCCTGCACTGTATACTCTATGTTGTACATTACATACTCCTGACCCCTGCACTACATACTCTCTGTTGTATATTACATAGTCCTGACTTCTGCTATCCCCCCACTGTTTTTATATATACACATATTATGGATTATCTTTGGTTACACCCATCACAGACTTTTACATGGTGATAATAATGTGATAACATCCTCCACCTTTGGACCCTTAAACAGAAAGTGATAATGGGGGAGGAGTCAATACCCCAATGATGGTGGTCTTCAGGATCAGTCCAGTCTTCATCTTGGTTGTTCTCCCCCCATCCTCACTCTCTGACCTCTGGTGGGGCTCAGCCCCGCTGTTCTTCATGACTAAATCATGGACTAAATAAGGAAGTGCAGTACTTCTTGTGTTGGGAAGATGGCGATGAGTGATAGAGGGGGTGGGGACCCTCGTCCTATAATCCCCTCATCACTGTCCCTCCTATAAAAGACAGTTCTGGTTGTTTCCTCACTCTCTGACTAAGGTCCATGAATAAAGAAATGACCTGGTAGGAGATCAGAGGAGCCATTTCCTAGTTCCCTTGAGGGTGGAATTGTAAGCTCCTCAGAGACCAAGCTTCCTGATGTGGGCGGAGTCCTGGTTTGGGGGAACCAATCTGCTCCTGTCTAGTAATCCTCTTTGTCTTTGTATTTTAGTCCATGGCCGGGAGATGAGGAAAACCTCCGAGGATTGTCTCACTTTGTCTCCAGACTGGAAAGTAGAAGATGAGGACATCACACAGTATAGTCCAGGAGAAAACCCGGCTCCCTCCAATGTCCATCCGGCACCACCCAGTGTAGATGGACCATCGGATTCCTCGTGTCCTGAGGAACCTCAGACTGTGCGGGACCGGGCCGGCCTTCCAACAGAGAAGAGCTTCTCCTGTATTGAGTGCAGGAAATGCTTTTTTTCATCTAAGTCAGGTCTTTCTCTACATCTGAAATCTCACACAGGGGAGAAGCCACTTTCTTGTCTTGAGTGCGGGAAATGTTTTTCAAGTAGGTCAAATTTTAAGGTACACCAGAGATTTCACACAGGCGAAAAGCCATATTTCTGTCCTGAGTGTGGAAATGTTTTTCACAGAAGTGCAATCTTAACAGACATCAGAAATGTCACATAGGGGAGAAGCCGTATTCCTGTCCTGAGTGCAAGAAATGTTTTTCACAGAAGTACCATCTTAGCAAACATCAGATTGTCTCCCACATGGGGAGAAGCCACATTCCTGTCCTGAGTGAGGGAAATGTTCCTCACTGAAGTCCTGCCTTCCTGTACATCAGGGATCCCACACAACCCTGGAGATGTATTAGTGCCTTGAGTGTGCGGGAAATGTCTTCTAGATGAATGTTGCTGGACATCCCAGCTCTCATGTGGGGAAGAAGCACACCCTGATATACACCTCAGATATACTCCATGGCTGATCTTCATCATGGAAGAAACAGTTCATAAGGAGGTCAGAGGTCACCAAAGACATGGAGGAAGTGTGGGACCAGGTTGGCTATAATGTAATGTTGCACAATTTTAACTGATTAAAGTATTTCAGGAAAAATACCTGATTATGGTCACTAAATGGAGATGTCATAGGAAATCACTGTGTTAAATTACGGCCAGAAATTGTAATGGCTGGAAGAATGATTGTCATATTCATCCAACAAATCATTTTTTTTTTCTTTTAGTTTCCTTCTTCAGACATGGTGTCATACAAATACCTGGGTAAGGCATGCACGTGGGTAGGGGGCATGCGTGACCTACCCACGCCGCCATTCACGGCCGCAGCTGTCAATCACCAGGACCTGACCGGTACTTACTCGCCGGCGCCTGGTGATTTCCGACAGGGAGGAGGACTGCTTTGTTTACTAACCGTTCTCCCTGTCAGCTCGGGCACACTGCTCTGGATGGCTGCGCACAGTACAGCCATCCAGAGCAGTGTGCTTACAGTGAAAGACACCTTCCCCCCCCCCCCCCCCCCCGCGCACCCCTAGTAAAGCACACCCAGCACACAGTTAACCCTTTGATCACTCCTCATGTTAACCTTTTCCTGCCCAGTGCCATTAGTACAGTGTCAGTGCTTTTTTCCCCTTTCATCTTTCAGGCCAGCACCTTGAGAGACCTCGGCTCCTCCCCATCTGAGGAAACACCTCCACCCTAAAATAAAAGAGCTCCACTCCCCCCTCTGACCTCAGTTCAGGTGTTTCCTCCGGTGGGGAGACACGAGGAGGCGCAAGGTGCGGCAGACGACGGGAGCCGAGGGCCGGATATCCGGCTGTGAGGCTCGGCGCAGCCGGGAGTGAAGGCCGGAGTGTCCAGCTGCATATCCTCCCAGGGCAGGCTGCGGTGCAGTGGGCACGCATCCCGGGTGACGGGACTGAGCACGTACCTGCTCTTCGCCCCCCGACCCTCTCCGGCGAGGGGGGGGGCATCGGGGTGGCTGTGGTGAGATCTGGGGAGGATCGGGGGAAATTCCCCTCCTTCCCACACTGGCGGTCTGAGGACTTTGCCGGGCTGGATGTCGGGAGACAGCGGTTTCCGCTTTCGGTCGCAACCCTCACACCACGGTGGCGCAAATTTTAAAAAGGAGGTGCGGTGCACAGCGGCCTGGGGGACAGGCCAGCACCAGGCGACCACCCTCCTGAGCGAGATGTCAGAGGCACCGGGACCAGGAGATGCCAGCACCAGCCAGACACAGGTAGCTTCTGTGAGTCACAGGGAACCCCTCGTGACTGGGGAGGAACCAGTGGGGGATTCCCGGTCTGAAGAGGAGCAGAGAAGGCAGGGGCCCCTCCCGGTACAAATTGACCCTAGAGGAGGTAGATGAGCTCCTGGGGGCTATATGCGAAACCCTGGACATTAAGGAGGAGGTTAAGGCCTTATCTCTCCATGACCAAATGTATCAAGGGTTGGAGGAGCACAAGCACAGAATATTTCCTGTGCATGACATTTTGGTGGACACTATTAGGAAGGAGTGGCAGGACCCGGAAAGGAAGCCGTTCTTCTCTAAGGCGTTGAGAAGGAGGTTTCCGTTTTCGGAGGACCCGGAGGCAGTCTGGAACAAGAGTCCTAAGCTAGACATGGCCTTTTCCCAAACGACCAGTAGGACAGATCTGGCGTTTGAAGACATGGGGGTCTTACCAGACTTATTAGACAGAAGGGCGGAGTCTCTCCTTAGGAAGGCCTGGGACTCAACCCTGTACAACCTGAAGCCGGCCATGGCTACAACGGTGGTAGCCAGAAACTTAAGAGTACTGGCTTACACAATTAGGCCCATATTGTGGCAGACTCTCCCAAGGAAAAAATCTTGGCCTCTTTGAGACCCTTTTGCAAGGGGTTTGGATATATCGCGGGCGCTTCCGCAGAGTCGGTGAGGTTGGGAGCCAGGTCTGCTGCCCTGACCAATTCAGCTAGAAGGGCGCTGTGGTTGAAACCGTGGCAGGGGGACATCACTTCTAAAATTAGGTTGTGCGGCATCCCCCTCACAGGAGACTGTCTGTTCGGCCCAGGGTTGGAGGAATTATTGGACCGGACTGCTGACAGGAAGAAGTCCTTCCCCCTCAAGAGGAAAGTGCAGGAGGGAGGGACACGGAAGGCCCGCCCGGCAAAGAGGCTGAGCCTGCGGCCAGCAGGTCAGGGTAGGTCTGCTGGGCAGAGAGGTAGGGGGGGTGATTTTTCGCCCTCCTGAGCAACCCCAGAAACCGAGGTGACTCTGTTCCTCCTGTGGGAGGGAGATTGGCGGCCTTCCTCCCACAGTGGGAAGCCGTGGTCGCCAGCCCCTTCATTTTGGATATCATCAGAAGGGGTTACCGGTTGGAGTTTATAGGGCCGCCATCCGAGACATTCCTTGTGACGACCCGTCCAAAGGATCCGGCGAAGGCCGCTGCTCTGGTGGATGCCTTGGAGGTTCTAGAGTCCCAGGGGGTCATCACCAGGGTCCCGGAAGAGGAACGAGGGAAGGGGGGTTTATTCCCATGTGTTCTTGGTTCAAAAGCAGTCTGGGGCGTTCAGGCTGATTTTGAACCTAAAACCCCTGAACAGGTCAGTGCGTTACCGGAGGTTCCGCATGGACTCCATTTTTACAGTCAGGTCCCTAATCCCGCCAGGTGCTTTCATGGCATCCATAGACTTAAAGGACGCCTACCTGCACGTGCCCGTGGCGGAGGCCTCTCAGCGGTTCCTCAGGTTGGCAATAGGGGGAGAGGGAGGAATTCGACATTGGCAGTTCAGGGCTCTTCCATTCGGACTTTCCTCCTCGCCAAGAGTATTCACCAAGGTTCTGTCTGAGGCACTGATTTCTATTCGCTTAAGGGGGATTTCAGTGGTAGCCTATCTGGACGATCTGCTGCTCTTCGCAGATTCAGAGGCTCACCTGCGGCAGGATCTGGTTATAGTGAGGGGCCATCTAGAAAGCTTGGGGTGGATTTTGAATCTAGAGAAGTCCTGTCTGGTGCCTTCTCAGAGAGTGGTTTACTTGGGCTACACTCTAGATTCAGTAAATCAAAAGACCAGCCTGACTTCAGAGAAGATCACCAAGTTGGAGGCAGGGATCAGATTACTGCTAGGGAGCAGGTCGATATCAATAAGGCAGGCCATGTCAGTACTTGGATTACTGACAGCGTCCATTCCAGCAGTTCAGTGGGCAGGTCTGCATATGCGTCCCCTCCAGTTGTGGGTCCTGAGAGTTTGGGACAGGAGGAGTCACTCCCTAGAAAACCGGGTCCTGGTTCCCCCCAGTGTGAAGAGGTCTCTGTGGTGGTGGAGGAGATCGTCCAGCATAACTCAGGGGCTGTTGTGGTGCTTTCCGGTATCCAGGGAGGTCACTACGGATGCCAGCTCCAAGGGATGGGGAGCCCACCTGGGAGACTTAGTGGCTCAGGGGGAATGGTCCTTAGTGCAGAAGGGCGAATCCTCGAATTGGAAGGAATTGAGGGCAGTGGGGGAGGCTCTGCACTCCTTCCAAGCGTGGGTCACGGGCCAGCATGTGCGTGTCCTAACGGACAATGCCACGGCAGTGGCTTATGTAAACAGGCAGGGAGGAACAAGGAGCAAGGCCCTCGGAGCCTTAGCGGCAACGCTGTTGTCCTGGGCAGAGGTGAACTTGGCGTCCCTGTCTGCGATATACTTGAGAGGGGAGCTGAACCAGAAGGCAGACTTCCTGAGCAGGACTCAGCTCAGGGAGTCGGAATGGGCCTTGAACCCCGAGGTCTTTCAGGAGATTGTGCGGAGGTGGGGATCCCCGGATGTGGACCTTTTTGCCTCGGGAAGGAACAACAAGGTCCCAAATTTCTTCTCTCTATCCCGCAGGGATGGGTCAAAAGCGGTGGAAGCATTAGGTCAGAGGTGGGACTACCGGCTTTGTTACGCCTTCCCCCCGGTTCCTTTGCTTCCCCTGGTCCTAAGGAAGTTCAGGACAGAGGGGACCTCGTTAATCCTGATAGTTCCCTTCTGGCCGCGGCGGGCGTGGTTCATGACCCTAAAAAATTTAGCCTCTCGTCCACCCTGTGGGCTGCCACCAAGGGAAGATTTGTTAACCCAGGGGCCGGTTCTTTGCCCCAGCGTGGGAAGATTGAGGCTAACGGCCTGGTTTCTGAGCAGCAGCTCCTCTTAGAGAAAGGGTTCTCGCCTAGGGTAGTGGCGACATTACTGGCCAGTAGGAAGGAGGAGACCCAGGCCATTTATGGTAGGGTCTGGGGTTGCTTTACAGCCTGGTGTGACCAGGCATCAGTGGCAACCCATAGTTTGGTTTCCGTGTTGGAATTCCTGCAGACGGGGACAGACAAGGGTTGTCTGTCAGCACGCTCAAGGGCCAGGTCTCGGCCCTCAGTGTGTTCCTAGAAACGCCCCTGGCCAGGGAGGCGTTGGTGAGTAGGTTTTTTAAAGCTCTGGTGAGGCAGAGGCCTCCAAGGTCCAGACCGTTTCCGGTGTGGGATTTGGCCAAGGTGCTCGGAGGGATGACTAGGGCTCCGTTCAAGCCCCTGGAGTCCTGCCCAATTAGTGAGCTCACCATTAAGACGGCTTTTCTGGTGGAAATTACCCAGGCAAGGAGGGTATGTGAACTGGAGGCCCTATCGATCAGAACACCTTATCTCCGTATTTTTTTGGACAGAATAGTTTTCAGGACGGACCCGTCCTTCGTTCCGAAGGTGGCCCGAGCTTCCAGAGGGAACAGGACATTGTCCTTCCCTTGTTTT